CTTTTTGTTCACACCATGAAATTTCCCCCCCGGAGACCCCCAGACCTCCATCAGTGTCTTTCCCCGGGAGCAGCCCCCAGGCGCGAGGGGGCAGAGTGCCGCTTCATGTCAGCCCCAGAAATGTCAAAAACACACACACTCACACATATTTCTCCAGAACACTCCCTGGCACTTTGCAATTTACTTTTGCATCTCCATCAACTGCCAAGGAAGATTCATGCATGCCCAGAATTTGAGAATCAGAGTGTGTGCGTGCGTGCGTGTGTGTGTGTGAGGGAAAGAGAAAGTCAAAAGTTGTGTGTGCGTTTTGCGATCGAAGGCGTCCCGGCGTGAGGGAGCCTTGAGGCCTGCCTGACACAGCTTGAGGGCACACAGAGGAAGGTGATTATCTCGTAGCTGCCAGCCATTCAGCTCAAATAAAGACCAAAGTAACTTACACTAACTAGGTGATGCTATTGTAAAAGTCTTGTACACCAACTTACCTGGATTTGTGTGGCATATTCTAAACTTGTAGCAGTGATAAAGTAGACAACGGCGCTATTCAAATGCGGTGTTTCTAATGCATTGTTATGACAGTGCTTTTCCATCATTTTGAATGTTCACCAGCAGCACACAATTCAAGTGCTGGATTTTACCACAGAGTTTGAATAAATCAGCTTCAGTTTCTCTGAAAATAAAAATTAATTTTGGCTATGACAAAATCTTGACAATATCTATTTTTGTTAGACTATCCATTCTCTTCTATGACCCAAGAGTTAGTAAGGAGCCAAATAATAGTTATAGAAAAAACATTTTATAATATATGATGATAACAAATATGCCTAAGTATTTGGTATTTGGTTACCTAAATGACACAACTAGTAGAACATAACTGATTTAAGAATCTGTATGCTGTGGCAAGCATTTATTGTCTTCGTCTTAAATCAAAACTTAGACATAAACTATCTGTCCATTTTTTTTTTTTTAGCAATTATCACATTTCACAACAGTGAAACTCTGCTGACCTGTTAGATAATGGGATGTGTGTGTTCATTTGTAAGATTTAAATTCCTCTCAAAGACAGCCATTGTTGCTTGTGAATCATTATTGTTTGAGATTTGATCTTGGCATTTTAATAATGGTAATCATTTAATATTGTCTCTATATTTATATCTATGTCTATAATTTTTGTCGAAATTAAACAGACAAAAACATTATTTTAAAGCACAAATTTGCATTGTCGAAAAATCCCATAATAAAAAGAGAGCAAACCTCCTCTGCACAGTAAGTTTCTGGTCTCTTTGTGAGGCTGAAACTCCAGTTCTGTGATTTTGCCAGCTCCAAGATGGCACCTTCCTTTCAGGATTGTGGTGTTTGTTTTTGGATCTGAAAAGCTCAAGCCTGGAGTGTCTCTCTTTGGGAAAGGCAGCTCTTTTGGCAGGTGACAGGCGGGCACACCTGGACATGTGTGTGTGCCCAGATGGATGAGGCGCGGTGGCAGCTGGTCCCCTGAGGACAGTGGTGTCGCCAGAGGGGACACTGCTCCGGTGTAATGCTTTCACACTCACACAAGGAACTACTGCAGAGAGATGACGCAGGAGCTAGACCAAAACACACAATAGGACAATAGGCATACAAAACAAAATGATGACTGACTTTGAATGCTATATTTAGCCATAATCTCCCAAAGCGTTACTGTATCTACAGAAACATCTTTCTATTTTAATCTGCTTCCTTCATCCGTGTGGCTCCCTGCGTCTGCCTTTTTCACAGTGCCAACAGCTCATTAGTGCAGTATGTAAATGAGCTGGCTGCGGGCCAGAGGGTCAGGGCACAAACTGGAAACAGAATAATAGCACCGCGGTGTAGTTCATGTGGGTGAGGGAGGGTGTCCTCAAGTGCCTGGCCAGATACAACTACAGGTGCAGGAATGTGACAGTCTACAGTTTAGTTGTTGTCAGTCGTCCATCTTCTAACCATGACCCCGAAACGCGATGCTCTATAGTTATGACAAAGTAAAAACTTAAAACTTACTAAAATGTATAATTTGTGTGGAATAATATCACTTTCTGTTTCAATGTTTCTTCTCCTAAAGTAACACAAGAACAACTGTTTACAAATTTTGTAGTTTGGGTGTATCAAATAACTTTTGTTTTTTTTTTTGTATTTAGGCTAGGAGTTCTAAACTATTATTGACCTTGGTACCCTTTCTCAGTACAAATAACTATTTATGCATCTTACTTTTAATGACTTGAGTGTTTTTAAGGGTAGACTTGCGCCTCTACCATGAGCTTCTGTCCTATGGTTAAGACATACATTTTAGACTGACTAAAGACACTTTATAGTCGTGTGCATTTTTGTGTAACTTGTGATAGGCAGGCAGCATGTGGCTTTGCTCCAAAGCTGTAAAATGGTAACATAATTACAACACACTGGAGATTTTATTATATAGGATACAAGTGCATTTGATGATTACATTTGACATTAAGCCAGAAAAACATCATGCTAAGAGGAGGCATATTGAATGGCTAGAGATCCTTTTCTTTTAGTAAAACTGAATTTGTGTTATCTCTTCAGTTTTAATAGACTTGCACAATTCAGTGTTATTAATATAAAGCAACAAGTATCTTACCTGTCCAGTATTTGCTTTCACTCAGCCACTCCTTATTCTCTCAGTAATTCATAGCTCAATTACTTAGTTTGGGATCCCATTCCTTGGTCTGTAATGAGTCATGTTGCTAAAATTTGCTTATTCTAACACACGATCATTAAATGTGCAGGCATGTGTAGACTTAACAGGAGGCACATGAGGGAAACTCACTGGGGACCACTGCTGGTGATATTGGGAATAACAAGATAACTACAGTCCCTGACAAAAGTCTTGTCGCTTATCCATTTTGTAGAAACAAAAGCTTATAACCTGACTTTAAATTAATTGATTGGTTTTAGAAATGTCTCATATGAAAGCTAAAACCCTCCCAAATTATGCTCAATATACTAAAATAAATTTGCTTCACTGAAGAAAGATTGATCATTTAATGAACACAGGTCAGATTTTGGCAAGACAAAAGTTTTGTCGCCTACAGAAAATTGAACAAATAATTTACTTCAAATACAAAAATATGTTGCATAACGTCAGTGAATTAAGTAGTGGTGCTGTGAGATCCATATTTAATATCTTGTATGACTTCCATGAGCTTGAAGGACGCATCCATGCGGTTCGACAATGATTCATACAATTTGTTGATGAAGTCATCAGGAATAGCAAAGAAAGCGTCTTACATGCCTCCCAGAGTTCATCAAGATTCTTTGGTTTTGCCTTCCATGCTTCCTCTTTCATTCTACCCCAGACATGCTCAATGATGTTCATGTCTGGTGACTGGGCTGGTCAGTCCTGGAGCACCTTGATTTTCTTCACCTTGAGAAACTTTGATGTAGAGATAGAAGTATGCGATGGAGCACCATCCTGCTGCAAAATTTGACCCCTTTTATGGTTGGGAATGTAAGAGGTAGCTAATACTTCTTGATATTTTAGGCTATTGATATTGCCTTCCACCCTGCAAATGTCTCGCACACCCCCATACTGGATGTAACCCCAGACCATTTTTTTTGCCGCCACCAAACTTAACTGTTTTCTGGGTGAATCTTGGATCCATGTGGCTCCAGTAGGTCTCCTGCAATATTTGCGGCGGCTGTGATGTAATTCAACTGAGGATTCATCTGAGAAATCCACCTTCTGCCACTTTTCCAGTGTCCATCCTTTTAGCAGGCTGTGGGCCTTGCAAATGCCACACGGTTTTTTAATTGCCTTTTGTTTAGTGCTGGTTTCTGTGCACTGATTCGACCACGGAGGCCATTTCGAGATAGAATTCTACAAACTGTTCTGGTTGACACAGGGACTTGAGGTGACCAGGCCTGGTGGAGCTCTGCTGCAGTGGAAAAGGGGCTAGCCGTGGATTTTCGAATCAACAAACGGTCCTCCCGAGCAGTTGTCTTGTGGGGTCTGCCGGACCTGGGCTTGTCAAAAACATCTCCAGTCATTTCAGATCTTTTTCTTATTCTTTGTACTTGACGCTGAGACACATTGAAGGTGTCAGCCACCTCAGCAGTGGATCTGGTCTTCAGCCTCTTGATAATTAACGCTTTGGTCTCAGGGTGGATCTTAGGCATGTTGTCAGAGGTCAAGTTGCAGTTGATGTGAAGGTCTGGTGTGCTGGGGTTCTTTTTATACACACCCACTAATTGATTGATCAGTAACTGATCACAGGTGAGGCTGTAATCTAGGATTGGGTGCATCATATGACAAGATGACAAAACTTTTGTCTTGCCAAAATCTGACCTTTCTGTGTTCATTAAATGATCGATCTTTCTTCAGTGAAGCAAATTTATTTTAGTATATTGAACATAATTTGGGAGGGTTTTAGCTTTCATATGAGACATTTCTAAAACCAGTCGATTAATTTAAAGTCAGGTTATAAGCTTTTGTTTCTACAAAATGGATAAGCGACAAGACTTTTGTCAGGGACTGTAGTTGATAGGGTCTAGAACAAGGGGTTCCCAAACTGTTCAGGCTGGGACCCCCAAACTAACTTGCTACCCTTACCATAGAATGAAACTGATACAAGTTAAATCAAGTTTAATGTTTTTTTTTGTTTAGTTTTTTAAAATAGATGATGGTCTTATTTGACATAATCTTGAAACGGTCGCACAACCCACCCCCACTTTTGGAACTAGAACTTTAAGCTTACTTCTTCTTCTTTTTCCATATGACACAATACTTTTTAATTTATGAATCAAAAAGACTTAAAGGGTCAATGTTAAACACAAAAATCCATAGCAAAGTGTGAATGTGCACCAAAGATCCAGCATGCACACACTCCTCCCTCACACCATGATTTTGTTGATGCTTTATTCACCCATTTTGCTGTCATCATTGTGTTCATCAGTGTTGTTTCTTAAGTTTTGCCTCTGTTTATTTTTGTCCATCCGTAAAAAGGCGCCATTATTTCTCCCTCTCCCAGGCCTCGCGAGAGGAGGACGGCCTCGGTGGGAAAGTCCCCCAGCATCACAGCTTTGCTCAGGACACGCCCAGGCTAGTCTTCAAGACAAACAGCGATGTGCTTGTAAGGACCAAATCACTAACTTCAAGCTGAATGCCTTTTGCTCATCTTAATGCTTTTATGTTTTCATTCTCATGTCTTTCTCTTTTCCTTTATGACGTCTGGCAGCGAGATTACTGGGTTCGTAATTGGGCATCACAAAAAGTAGATGACAGAAATTGATCACACAAAAAGCATCATCTTGTCTAGTCAGGCTTTTTTCTTTTCTACATAACATTTGTTTTGCCTTGTATTTTTAATACATTCATCTTCTGTTTACATTTCCCACATTAAATAATTTACCAGTAACACTTTTTTCAGTAAATGTACATGATACAAGTAATATTCACAAAATGTTTAATTTTCTATTTTAACTGGTTACACAATGTCTACTTGCACAGACAATTGTTTATCTATATGTCCAATCTTTACTTAACATGAATCTTAGTGACACTGAAAACACAATACACACTTTGAAGGTTAGTGTCACAGAAAAAAAACTAAAACAAAAAAACTGCAGGCCTAAGGCCTAAACTGCAGCCACAGGCCTACAGTTAGTTAGTGCAGCAATACTATAGATTAGGGATCATATATTACTGCTTAACTACTAGTTAAAGGCATAGAGAGGTTAATGAAATACGTATTTGAACAATAATTTATTTAATACTGGTAGACGTTATAACTATTGACCAAGAGCCGAATAACCCATATACCAATTTACACTTAGTGGTCATAAACTAACCTGTTACCATTCATACAACTTCTGCTACTACCTACTGTTTCTTCTATCACTTCTATACTATTTATCTACTATCTATATTTCTACTACTGTTACTATTCACTTTTGAACTGTACACTGTTAAATATGTTTTAAGTATTTGAAAAATGAAAAAGAAACTCCATCTTTCTATCATTTGTATGCTGAAAGAAAACCACTTTGTTTGTTTATATCAGACATCAGGAAATATAAGAGGTTGCAGGACCAAACTAAAGTAAGCTGTGAGCCTTAAATAACAGATGTAAGCTATATGATGTCTCCCTCCGGTCCACTCCAGCAGAACACCTTCATCTCGGCCTATACAGAACAGTTATCCTCGTCTGTGAGAGCTGAAATACAGTGCTCTTGACATTCACCTGCTCTGTGAGAACGGCCTTTAGTGTCACATCAGCCTGACTGACTGCAATGGCGCACGCAGATAAGGTGAACTTCAGATCTAGGGCCTCATCCAGTGTTTACACTACAAAAATCCTCTAGAGGTAGTTAAATGGACTTGAATTCAGAATATTAAAGTGTTTTTGACTCGGCTACATTTAATTGTGTGTGAGATGTACAATATGCAACTAGTTTCATCTGAAGCAAGAAAGTAAATATGTCAATGGAGTAACTATAGTACACTGGCAACTAAATAAATTTCAACTAGTCAAAAGTCATATACTCCAAAGTAGGATTAATATCCTGATTTCAAATTCAAGTAACTCTTATAGATATTCTTTTTGCAGTATAATGTTGGTTCTGGTGATTTAAGTGTATTTGTAGAGAAGTTAAACTTTTATGCCATACTTCCACAAAATGTAAAATGTAAATACTGTGTAACAAAAATATTCAATTTCATAAACTTCTTTTCAGTTGGAGAGTTAATTGACCATATTATGATATAATATCACATAGCCAATAACCATAAGAAACATTTTGTATTGTATTATATATATAATTGATTTGTCATTAGATGAGGATTACAGATTTAGCACTACAACACTATTTAGCATTGCACTGTTTGTTTAAGACTTTTTGCAGATTGTTGGGAGTCAAACCTAAAGTGCCTGCTCAGTTGAAGCACCTGGTTCAGTTTTCATTGCTTTAATCCTTGTGTTTTTATGGCAGCAATCTGAGAAGTGTCAAAAGACTCATATATCGACCTGAACAGAGGGATACACAGGCCTGCTCCCTCCTGCTCTCTCTCTGCTTAAGCCTCTCATTTGCCAACAGCCTGCACCAGCTCAAACTCTATCAACTGTTAAAATCTCATCTCTTTACCATTCATTATCAATATCATTCATCACACACTCCTTTACAACCACTGACAATGTGTTTAATGACACAGACATATACAGAAATACAGTACATACAGCACAGGGCTACAAAATGCTTAGTATTGTAGAGTTTGTGGAGTTACAGCTATTGCCTTTTAATTTTAATTTCTTTTACTTTACCAGGCAAAATATTAAGAACAAAGCTTCAACTCTTGTCAGTGAAATATAGCATCCTTCACTGAAAAAAATGTGTCTTTTAATTTCCAGTGTTCTCATTTTAGTGTTTAGACAATGTTTTCAATATAAAAGCATATCTACTTTTTAATCCTTCCTCATCCAAGGGAATTTGGGAAGGCATGGATTTTAAAGAGATTTTTAAAGAGTCAATATCTACTATTCTATGTGCCAGTCCCAAACCAGTCCAAACCGGTAGGTGATGGCTGATAATATGACAAACTTTATGAATTCACTATAAGTATTGATACTGATCATTTTGGGGCAAGAAAAGTGGATTTTCCTGATATTATACTTTTAAGAGGCATCTTTAAAACAAGATAGCACCATGTCCTGAGGTGACTGCACTTGTTTGGAAGCTTTCTAATTGCTGTAAAACAAACATTACACTACACCACCACTGTCGGCACAGTGACGACGATGAGAATAAATGACCATAATTACAGCGAACTGCAAACATCTGTGAGTGCTACAGTCAGGAGCAAAGTGTGAGAGAATGCACAACTCCATTAGTGCAAAATGCAGTCAAATTTCACTCAGAAACAAAGTCGTTAAGTGCCCTCCATCTGTCTTTCCCAGTTGAGAAAATTCAACACATTTATTATTGAAAATATCCAGGGTCTGTCGTAATTCAACTCAACTTCCAAGAGCATCTTTTGACTTTTACTCTGTCACTGCTCATTGAGTTAGCCAGGGCTTACTGCAATTGAAAAGATACATCTAAGCACCAGCAGGGTCTGTGTGGGTCTCCATGGTTCAGCCTTGATCTGACAACGTGCCAACATTAGAACATTCTTTTGATCAAATTCACAAAATGGAATTTGATTGCAATAATTCAATATTCACCTTTAATCATTTGACCAATTTTAGGGCCTTTTACCAAAACTCAATTAGAGAGCAAAATGGGGCTTAAAGAAGTTTGCTTTCACATGTAGCTCAATTAGGAAAAGTAGAGCAGTATTTTCTTTAATTAACTGTGAAAAGCGACAGTTTTACCAAAAAAAAAACTAAAAAATTATTTGTACCACACTCTAAGAAATCTTGATAATTAGTAAGTAATCACTTTATCTATTTCTGAAACCTTGTGGACTGACTTGACTCTTCTCACTTCTCTCAGCTTGAAGATTCCAGGAATCATTTCCATATTCCATTTCATTTAACTTTTTTCTCCCAAGATTTTAACTGCAATTCAAGGGCCCACATTTTAATTATTTGAACAATTATATCAGATGCCCTCCCTCCAGCTCAGGCTAATTACACACCATTTCATTCTTGACCTATGGCTACTGTTATTATGAAAATGTTATCCACATCCAACTATTACAGAATCCAGTCATAACAAGAATAGTAATAGTAAAGCATTCACAGCATCTTGTCTTGTCAGTACAGTAGTCACCATTTTAGATACCTCGTTATATAAAAAAAAATATAAGTCTACATCAGCTTTGGACCAAATAAGCCAAGTACACAGTGTGCAAAAATGTTGTCTCCACCTTATGGTTGCATCCCTGAACTTATTAAGATTCAGCGGGGGGGCTCAAGGGTCCCTGTGATGGATGGATGTCGTTGAGGGGTCTGACAACTGATTAATGCCTTAATTATGTGCAGCGAGGGCCTGCCACTCCTCCTGCGCTGAGCGAGGGAGCCGCGTGTGGCCTGACGAGCCAACGCCGTGTTCAGGGTTCGCCCACTGCTATCTGCTGCACCAGGGTCACATTCATTTACTTCCTCAAGAAAAATCTTCTCTTTTTGTGCTGAAAAGCTGTTTAATGTTGATGAAATACCGCTGCAGAGAGGAGGGACAACTTCTCAATGGGAGAATGTTTTACACAACTCCTCCATGTAGCATACTGAGATTGAGGGTTCAGTCAGCAAGTATATTATTGCAAAGTGGCCACAAATAGATTAATTTGAGCAAACTTTTACCTAAGTTTTGAGGCAAAGAGGACCCTTTCTCTTAGTATTTGGTATGAAGTGATTATTTTGTTGTGATTATTATAACCTTTACTAACTACTTTAAATATAAATTTAGTTCCCTTATCGAAAAAGAGATGAAAAAATATCATTAAAAAAAGATTTAGACGAATTCACAGACATTTATTTACAGCTTTGAGGAAATGTCCCTTCATAATGGAGCTGTCCAGATGGTGTAAGGGTAGAACTTTCTGTGGTGTAATTCCTAAATGAGCCTATAGGAGGCAGTGTGACGGCGCTGATGCAATGTTGTGTGTTGCAGGTGTGTGACTGGTGCAAACACATTCGACACACAAAGGAGTATCTGGACTTTGGAGCCGGGGAGCGGAGGCTGCAGTTTTGCAGTGCCAAATGTCTCAACCAATACAAGATGGACATTTTCTACAAGGAGACCCAGGCAGCGCTGCCCGGGGGACTGTGTAACCCAGGACACCCTTCAGCGGGGGACAGTAAAGCCGACTGTGGGGGAGGGATGCAGCTCCTCACCCCAGAGTCCTGGGGCTCACCTCTGGCTGACCTGAGGAGGAAGGCTCCATCACCCGGGGGCCCGTCCAGCTCCTCTGTCCTGGGCACTACCACCTCCTCTGTCACCTCTCCTTCAGACAACAGTGCAGTCTGTTCTCCATCCTCCTCCTCTGCAAAGATCCCCACACCCAGACCACACGAGAGCCCCACCCTTGCTCCACCACCTGTCCCTTCTCTGCATCCACCTGTGGGGATGCCTTCTGGCAGCCCCCCTATGGTCATGACCCCCCGGGGCCCCATGCCATTGCCTCTTTTTATGGAGCATCAGATGATGCAGCAGATGCGGCCCCCATTCTTGCGCCCCTCTCATCCTGGTGGACCCAACAGCCCTCTGTCCATCCCTGGTATTGGACCCCCTCCTCCCCCCAGGACCCTAGGCCCACCGTCTAGTCCCATGCACCGACCACTATTGTCCCCTCATGTACACCCCGGTTCAAACCCCAACCCTGGTATGATGCCCCCTCATCCGGGCATTCCGATGAGTGGTCTACCCCCATTTCCTCCTGTCAACATGATGCACAATGGTCCAATACCCCTGCCCCCCATGATGAACTTTGGTATGCCATCTTTGGCCCCTCTGGTGCCCCCACCCACCCTTCTAGTTCCATACCCGGTCATAGTTCCTCTTCCTGTTCCCATCCCTATCCCTATACCCATCCCTATGAACCCCAAGAGCCCAAGGGACCAACCTGAAAGCAGTGGACATGTCCAACCCAGCCCAAGGTCCAGCGAGACGTCCTCTTCAGGTGGCCCCACTGTGGGGGCCAATGGAGGGGACAGAGAAGACCTGTCTGGGGTGGAGCACATGTCTCCTGGATGTACCTCTTCAGAGAGGACCAGGACATCTAAAGGTGACTTATTTGTGAAGACTGAGGACAGTTCAGGGACCTCGTGTATGACTGGCAGCTCCAAATTAATGGAGGGAGTGATTGATCTAACTGTGGGCCAGAAGCAACATGTTACTAACAGTGGTGCAGTGGGAGAGGTTCAGGTCAAAGTGGAAGCAGAGTCAAGGTCTCCACGTGCAGAGGGACAGTGTAAAGAGGCAAAAGACTGGGCACAAGGGGGCGCCTCAGAGCGGGAACGTAAAGCTAAAAGAAATGAGGGAGGCTTTGAAACGCACACACTGGAATCCTCCACTCCTCCCTCCACAAACAACAGCCCCCACCACAACTCTAATCCACCAGTGAGCCAGCAGAACTCTTATATTTCTAACCTTAGTCCACAAGCAACCCGGAGTCAGCTCCACACTCCAGCGCAGGCTCAAAGCGGTCCTGCTGCACTCTGTAATGTGATAGTCAATGGGACAGGGTGGCATCCCGTTCTGCCACCTGCCACCTCAGAGGGTCATTCAGCACCAGCCAACGGAGAGCTGGAACGGGATGCACTAAAGGAGAACAACTGCTCCGTGGCAGGGTGGGACCCGGGCAAGAGGACAGGACCAGCTGAGGACTCAAACTTAAAAGAGAGTAAAGTGGACCCAGACTCTAATTTGGAGGAGGGGGAGCACGCGTACGCACTGCCTCTGCTGTCCACTGGGGGCTGCGTAGTCATCCAGCCTGTGCCAAAGAGTGGCACGGACAAAACGGCCTTCCTCTCCTGCTCCATCAGTGCTCCTCTATCTGGCTCCTGCAGCCCGGAGCTTGAGCCCCCACTCAAGAGAAGGTGCCTGCGAATCCGCAATCAAAACAAATGAGGTAAGACCAGTTTTAACAAAGAAAAACTGTATTTTGGTATTTGACATGCATGTATGTATGTAGAATAATGTGGTACATATACTTTGTGTTAGTAGAAGCTAATATCCCTAAATACTCTTATTAAATTGTGTTGCAGCTAACATATTTCAGAGTAAAGATAGAAACTTAATTATGTGAAGGTGTTCAAGATACAAATGGAATGCCACTGTCTTGTTCATTTGATAATTAAATCAAATCACACTCAAGAGCAATTAATGGTGATGACAACAAGTGCCTGCAATGAGAGTAATTATTGATGGAAAAAAACACAGCCTCATCACTACAATACACAACTAATGATGAACATTACTCAACATTACAGACTTATCCAAACCCCACTTGTTGTGATGGTCCATAGGAAGTTGTCATCCTTTTCATTTTTTGTTATACTTTGTTTTACAGATGGTTGCTCTGACGACTGCAGTGCCATCAACGACACTTGATCATTCTTTGATCTTCAGCTTTGACCCTTCGGCTGTTCACCAACACAAATACAGTCTTCATTTCATCTTACCCATCAGTCTTATGGTACCAGCACTTCAAATCAACTTTCTACACTCCAACCCAGTATGGATATTAAAATAATCGGCCTCCTATAATGATTATCTGCAAAAGGACTCTGCTCACTCACCTCTTTTTACATTTACTCTCTCAGCCCACACTGCCGCTTGCAGCAATGTTAAAGTATATTTCATGTCAATGTTAGTATTGCTTCCCTTTTAGACGATCCCTCATTCGTTACCAGCAAACATGATGTCAAATTGCCAGATCCATAAAAAAAACTGAATGTGCAATATATTTTATTAGTTACTTCATTAGAGTATGGCAAGAATGATAAAATGTTCACCAGCAAATAATGGTTGATAACAATTCCAACATTTTTTTTTTTCTATGGCACTTACCACTTGTGAACATAAGTAACAGACATAAGTGACTAGAGTGGAGCTGTCGTCATAATCATTCCTGACATCCACACAAAATGCTCTCTGCAGTGTGTGCTTAAGCAGTAAGCTTCACACTGGCTATAATAAGGGGCCCTGCTGCTTAAGAACATTTCAAGGCTGAGTGCGTCTGAAAGAAGTCCGTGGCACTGTAAAACTCTGCCAACCTGCGACGGGCACTTACAACCGCAGGGCCAGACTTCATCTTCTCTATAATGCATTTGCACTGATGTTCCTGTCATGTTGGCGTTTTGGGTCTGAATGCTAGCAATTTAAAGGAACACTTTCACTAAATTCCTCTCTTCAACCAGAACTCAGCAAAAAAGCACAATTAAATGGAAAGTTAATTTGCTGTTTCTATCTGCCAAGATAATTTGCCAATATGATTTAAGCCAATGTTGTTTTTGCTGTAATGCGCTGCGCAGCTTTTTTGTAGAGTGACCTGACTGTCACCCATCTCTCAAGCCTCTGAGATGAGATGCCAGTTAAAACACAGTCAGCATTTGCATGATAAAATTTAAGATCCATTGTACCAGTTAGAGGCAAGAAGCATTTTTTTATTCTCCAAAAGAGACTAAGGTGCCGAAACGAAACATGCTTTCTGTTTAGATCTCATAATTTTGAGTTGCCAAAATTATTTGATGAGCAAAATATGTGGTTTATGTAGGGCAAACATAAAAAAATAAAGCACTTACAAATAACTATTCAATTTATATTGAAACTAAAATGCACTGTTCTGCCAATGATGAAAAATGTTGTTGTAATGTTTGGTCCAAAGTGTTTTATTTTTTATTTTTTAATGTAAAACTGCTTTTAAGAATCTGATTTACAGCAAGAAATTAAAGTTACCTGGCCTCTCACTATCAAATGGTCTATACTCTGCAGCCCTGTGCAGATCCAAGTAGAATGTCCAGTGGAGTTGGCTCCAATTAGTTTTATCCAAATGGTCACTCAAGTATAAATTAAAACAAAGCATTTATTTATTGTTCCTTTCCTAATTTGCCTGTGCCGTGCTTGACACCCATTACATCCCTCCTCACAGACTAAACATTAAGACCAGTCTAATCATACTTTCATACTGTACGTATTAGTGTTGCAGAGTGGCAAACGAGGGGTTAATTCTCATGCAATCTTGGACTACTGACAAGTTTTGTGGTGATAAACAGACTTATAAATCTTGAGCATTCCTTTTAGAGATGGACTACAGGCCTGGTCATCAGCCTGAAATATGCAACGTCAACTAACTCTAACCCCAATCGGGACAAGACGTCCACAAACAAGACTTTGTGTTAATCAAAACAACTGAGAAGTTGCCTTAACTCTTGCTTGTATAATCTTTACAGTTAAGACAATGAGAAGAAAATCTCCCTTCTTTGTACAACATGAAATAAAGCAGAAACAATTTTGTTATCTTGCTAGTGTCAATGTATAGATGATCAGCTTTTCTGTAACTTGTATGGGCTGTCACGTTTTGCTAAGAATCTCTCCCTTATTCCCCGTTCCTAAACATTTGTTCAACATTTTAACTTGTGGTGGTCTGTCAATCTTTTGTGTACATTTTATAGTATTATTTATTGTTGACAGGTTTTTCAAGGTTTGACCTGACCATTCAATTTCAGTGTAAATGCCCAGTGAACAGTGAATCACTTTTTTAACCGGAGAAAATAATGTTTTTTTCTTTTTTCTTTTTTTTTCTTATGACGTAACATGTACATAACGTGGCCAAATTGCTTTGGAAAAGACTCATTTTTGTGTTGTAACCATAATTGTTTAATTCAGTAAATTGCTCATGATGACAAATAAATAAGAGACACAAACTGGCTTGAACTTGTGACGCATGTTGACTTATTCAAACAACTACCGCCCCCAGTTCTGCAATGCCCTCATAATACAACGTTGTGTGTGAAGAATGTCAGTTTGTTTTTTTATATTCCCCTTTGGCAGTTTTTTTTATTATTATTTTTTAATGTTTGCAGATGTAGGCAACACAATACAAATAAATAAACTACAGATTAAGGTTTTGTGAATACAATGAAATACACTATTATTTCTAATTAATTCTAACAAAATAATAATAATAATAAAAATATATAGGGCAATAGTTTAAATTTAAGTTTAGGCGGAAAGCACAGCACAAGCCTAATATAGACATTTATGCTACCAACTAAATACATCATGCTGGGAACACTGTTGAAATACACCAGTATACCTGTCAGATAGTATTTTTGAACTTCATTGCATTTTTACAGCGATTGAAAATGTAAAATAAATACAACGGTCTCTGACGCCATCTCTCGGTCAAATGGTTGAACAACAGCACAAAAAAGTTTGGACCGTCTTTTCATAAAATCAATAAACGCTGAAACCTTAATTGAGAAGATTACTTTTTCTGATTATTTGACATTGTATTATTATTATTATTATTATTATTATTATTATTATTATTATTATTATTATTATTATTATTATTATTATTTTAAGCAAGAACATTGACAAAGCGGCTGATCTTGAATAAAATAAGTAGGCGGGAAATTTACAATGCAAAATGAAATATTTTAGTAGAAGAATGTGCCAAAAACACACCACATTGTTTGGGACATTTGGCCCATGTCTAGTAGGCTTATTTTCTTAATATATTTAAAAAGCAAAAGTAAGGCCAGCACTAGGGGGTTGTGGGAAATGAAGTTCTATCCGTGCTGATGTCAGAGCAGAGGGAGGAGGAGAGATCCAGAGACTTCAGTCTTGGCCGTGTAGATGTGCCAGTAGATTACAAAGAATAACTGACTCTTGTGGACTTTTTGTTTTCGAGTGAAAGTACTTTTTACATGATCTTTCGTCCAGCAAAGCGCAGAAGACGAATACGAAAATGAACGAGAGGATCCAGGAAGAGCGTGTTTGGTTATTAAAAATTCAGCGCGGGAGAGCGGACTTGGGGGCTTTTTCGGGTGACTTGTGGCTGCTCTGAGGATACTACACACCATCAGGATTGAAACGCTGTTGAATGGGGTGAAGCGGAGCGGATATTCGTGTTTGAACCGTCCTAAAGCATTTCCAAGCGGCCAAAAAGAAGCGAGAGGAAGGGGAGGAGAGGGGGCGCACAGAAAACGCCCTGCTGCCGCTGCCGCTGCCTGTTGCTGCTGCTGCTGCTATCTCCCAATTCAAACTTTATCGCCGAGTTAGAAAAATGAATCTTTCACTCGACAAGAGGTGATAGTCCAGCTGTAATGTTGTATTAACCACCACAAACCCACTCAGCGAGCTAACCAGAGCGTCCTTCGCTGGCAAGTTTTCGAAAAGCGGGAGTCTGCTTTGGGAATATTTTCTCCTCATTGTGCACACTAGCTATTCCTGTTGGGGGCGATTTGGGTGGGCTGTGGGAGCCTGGGCTGCTGTGCTAGGCCCGGGGCCATTAGCCAGAGACAAAGTGGCTCATGTAAACAGAACAAACTTGAGGATTTGACCCAGCTCTGAACTGTCGGACCGCCGCAGCCGTGGACATGTCCGTGGGCGCAGAAAGGAGGATGGAGACCCGGCTGAAGAAGCTAGAGGACATGATACGCGATCCCAGGTCTGCCATAAACCTGGAAAGTTTACTGGTAAGTCTAGTGGGAGAGCTCATGGATTATTTATCAAGTCATGTTGTTGTGTGTTCAGTGAAACACTAGACACGTATGCGCGCAGTTAGGTAAGGTCCTTGGTATTTATGACCCTTTTCTCTTATCACTCCCCTTATGTTACCTGCAGCGAGCTGTTAGCATAACTCTCACCGTAAACTTTACAACATCTCCACTGGCACTGCATCGAGAACTAATTCTGTATTGCCAATTGAACCCCTCATTCGTCCATTGAGTTCTGTATTGTGTAATCATTGTGTTATCAAACCAAACACACGGCCTATTCTCTTCATTGGACGAAGAGGCACGTGTGGTTATAGATTGCACACAGATCTGATTAATAGTTAAGACTAAGTGCAGACAGTGCACTTTGGGGGTCCGTGGAGCATGTCTACAGATTAGGATTAACAAGTGGACCTCCTGTAGGACTGGAGAATTTTTTGGACAAGTTTCCGGTTAAATTCCCGCTTTGGGCCCAGTGAGTCCGGACCGTCCCACATTGGGCATCCACACATGCCCTCTCACTTACACTGTCTTCTCTTCCTGTCCAAGGGAGAAAATGTATTCAAGTTACAGTAAAACACATTATATGCATGAATCAATTCAGCATTTCAGCAACTTGAAAAGCTACCCGACAGCAGTGATTGTTTATTGCTGCAAGAATCTTCTCTGTTTTAAATGACGTGATGTGTTTTTTTTAATTGAGTGAGTTCCTCATTCCAAACTAGCAATTTTGGCTTGATGTCATGTAAAAGCATACTTCAGTCTTAACAACTCCTTCTAAGTATTTGTGTAATAGGCTTCTTAGCATATTTTTACTAATAGGCTCAAGCTCCATAACACAAAACTAGAAATGTTAAACTCAAATGTGTTTCAGATAGTTCAAAATATATTCCTACTTTCATTGTAGTGACCACAATTTTTATTTTAATTTGAGAGAAACCGGCTTGGCTACTTGTAGAATGTAAATGGTTTGCGAATTTGAAATATGTTTCAGTAATCAAACTTACAAACTTTGTAATTACATTCCCAGCAGGACCAAAGTGACACTGGTCAAACACAATGTGGGCTCCATCTTTAAAGCAGAACCCTCAGGTCCTCCTCACTCCTCTTTATTGGCCCCTTCTTGCTTGGGGCACCCTGAATACAAACTCACTGCCCCCCAAAACTGCACTTAAACCATTTTCCTTGTCTTTCCCTACAATCTGGACACAGCCCTTTTGAACACAGGTGCTGTTTACGGCCTGGATAGAGCTAAGCAGGCCGAGGTGTTGAGTGTTTTAGACAAAAGTTGAGTGGGAAGCATGCGTAGGAGAGTGCTCGGCTGCAGTTTTCCTTTTTTAGGTTCTCTCTTCATGTCACTGAGAGCATGGAGTGATGAGAGAATGCCACTGTGATGTACGCACAAGGAGATAACACAAGTTCATATAGCAGATTTATAATACAAACGTACTTTATTGCTTTCATAATCAACCAACCTGTGGAGTTGTCTAGCAATGTGGCACTTTTCTCCTGTTTGCCATAGCAACAACAACACACAGAATCCACGGACTAAGTGTTCTTATATTCTAAAATAAAGTGAACTTTTTCTGCAATTTCGTGAAAACACAACCTGACAATGACAAGTCGATGTGGACTTGTTGACCTTCCTTTTACAGAAGCTTCTCTGACTTGAGTAATGCTGCAGTGCTTAGCCCGTTAAATCATGGAGTTAGAATCTTCCCTCATGCTGCACCTGTTTCCTTATAGCTGCCATAGGATCCTGAATGACTCTTTGATAGACCCAATACTGTGGATTGAGAGTGAAAAGCACTATTGCTTTTATCAGCATTGACAGCAGAGTGACCTGAGGTCTGCACTGATCGTTATTTGGCTGCTCGTGTGCTGACAGAGACTGGACTTTAGCTCGGTACACAGTCATTGTAGAGGGCAGGCGCCACAAGGGCCATGCTTCTCAGATTAATATATGTAGACACTTGATTGCAAGACGTGGTGCTGTTCTACAGGAAATGACCGAAGTGTGTAAACAGTGTTAGCTCAGGCTCAAAGGTCCTGACAGGGAAACTGCTTTCACTTTTTACTTTCTTACTTGTGTGCCTGGCTCAGCGGGCTGCCCCCTCCTCTTTGGCTTGTACGGAGCACCTCAGGTATTTGAGTTGCAGCCCTGATAACTTTATGCATGGCTCTTAAGTGAGAATGAAGAAGGAGCATGAGGGCTTAGCAGTGTGGAAGATTTCCAGATGGTGTCTTTGGGCTGTACCTGCACTGCTCCTGATCGTCAGTATTAAACACACATTAGTGTTTCTGCAGCACTCCCTCTTCTGCACTAATTCACTAGCCCTGCTCAGTACTGCAGCCCGCACGGCCTCGTCTTCATAAATCTTCTACAGCATCTTCAGCCTCTCTTTCGCTCATGTTCTTTGGGCTTTATCTCAGAGTGCCCACCCCCAACAGGCAGGAACTTTCCTTTCAGAGCCCCCGTGTGTCTCTGATACTTGGCCTTTTTGTGCCTTGTCTCTGGAGTACATTTGAGTTGCTTTGAGGCGAGCTGCAGCAGTCCCGCTCTGACTGTGCTTATGGGATAGAAACACTGCCTTATAAGGCACTGGGGACGGTCGCTCCAGCCAATTTTTTTCACGGAACAAGCTGGTCTCCTGCTCCACACCTCTTCAGTGAGACTACTTTGTGAGAGTACATTGTGGGTTCTTGTAGACTTGACTCTATAGAGCAGACGGTGTAGTGTCACCTCATGTCAGGCCATAAATTTACACTTTTGCTCATCAAAGTCGAATGTTTAAAAGAGCTTTTTGTGAAGTTTCCCGAAGCTTCTGAAGTCAAAGTGGTGCAGTTATTTTCTCTGGCACTTTGCATTTTTCACACTCCTCTCCGAGCTCATCATTTGTGACAGCAGGAGAGCTCAGCACACAGAGTCTTTCCTTTTAAATGTTGCAGACACTGTTTTTACAATTGGACAGACACCTTAAATTTGTTTATATAGCCTCTAAACAAAAACAAAACTATGTAACATGATGCACCCTGACTGTCACTGTTGTTCTTTTTTATCATAAATGAAACTTTATTTAGTTTGTGTCCGGTGCAAGGTATACTCCCTGAGATTTGCCTTAATCTGATGGATCTACTTGTCTAGACGTAAGCACATGGGCTAATACACATGCTGCATATTTGAAGCATATGAATTCAGCATAGCCACAGTGCACAGCCAGACTCATCATTTAATTGTTTTGGAGAAATATACTGTGTTTTAATATGCTAATAATTGCTTAAACAAAACACAAACTTGAATATCTTCCAAGCAAAGGTGTAGGTAATATTTTAGCATTCGTGTGGTTAATTTCCACTTTTACTTGCATGATACTGAACCTCAACCAAGTAATTGCTACAATGTTGTCTAATTATTGCCATTTGAATAACCCCCACATTTGATACCGTATTTTGGAAAGTTTCTCACACCTTACTGGAAAGTGCAATGCTTTTATTGAGTTTTGGTAATTCAGGAGTACGTTTTCTTCACTTTAGTTGTGTTTTATTTTTAGTCAGAGAAGATATTGTAGGATGGCACAGGAGGCTCCCACGCTCCATTCATCTGGCTCTGTGTTGTTCTTCCATCACAACCTGCTGCTGGTGAAACAAGGCCTCCCCCGCACACCCACATGCACACACACATACACACATTGTACACAATTTAACATATACTAACACACGATTTAACACATCAACATACTGCGCAAAATGGCTGGATACTCAGTACACTTGATCATAGTGACCACACATTGCACTTTAAACAACTACAAACAACAGAGCTGCTTTCGTTTGAGACGTAATAATAGATTGACAGCTAGTATTCAATGTTTTTTAGTGTAAATTTATTTAGTTGGGTCTAGAAGTATTTGAAAAGTAACCCAAGTCGCTTTATTTTGCCTGTCTATCAAAACGTATTAAACAACTTGAAGTTATGTAATTGATATCTGTGTAAGGAATGATTTTCAGCTCTAATTTTAGTATATTTATGAATGAGAAAGGGTTCAGGAGTTGAGGTTTTTAATGTCAGGCCTTTTTCTGGGGGTCAATGTGTGTGGTGATGTTCATTATTCAACAAGGAATTTTATACAAAGGGTTAAAGATGAATAGAGATTGACTTTTATGGGATTTTTCATGACTCATGCAGATACTGATTATTTAAACTCCAGATAAACCGATGACTGATAAGCTCTGCCTATATTTTTGGATCGATAAGTAAGGCCAATTTGGATTATTTTCCCAAATTCTGAAATATAAATGTACTACAAACTCACTCACAGCCATTTTTTCAACTATAAACTTGTAAGAGAGCAGTTTAATCATGCTTTGTGCAGTTATTGCCGCACTATAGTATTCATATGAAGCATTATGTCTATTCTTTAGGCAACAGGTTGGCCAAAACTAAATATAGGCGTGTGTTTTAAGACTGATATTTGCACTTTTTAATGAATCGGCTATCTCTAAAAATAAACATCTTATTTTAGGTCATTTCAGGAGGACATGCCTTGTATGGCCAACTACTCTACAGTTATTGAAGCTAATGTTTTTAGCTTTATTTAATCTGTTTCACACTCTCCACTTCTTCCAGCAGATGGCACAGTTCAGTTTAAGTGTGTTTTTAGTGTTTCTTCTTGTGCCCTGTTGTTTTGCTTTCCAAAAGTATTCTAAAAACCAGGGCTAAAAACTAGGGTAGTGGAGTAAAACAGAAAGGTAAAGTTTATGTAATAACTGTTTCCCATAATGATACTACATCTTGGGTTTGGGGTTTCACATATGTACATAGTGTCCTTCTTTGCTTCTCTCCTGGCACATTCCTCTGCTGCTTAATCATAATACAGCACTGGTGCCAGCAGCAGTCCATAGGCCACAGGATCATGGGACAAAAATCTGTCAAAGTAAAAGTAAGACATCTCTGACTATTCCCTGTGGAGACATTGGCTTTG